TAACCCCCCCCCCCCCGGAGTCTCAGGCTGTTCTTATTCTCATTCCATCTAGATGAAAGCATTTTTATCTCTTTGTGTACTGTGGATAGGAAATGCTGTGGCACAATTGTACATACTTTCCTATTCCTGTCACAAATGTAAGAGTTTGTTTGCTGAGCTGGGGATGCACAGTGTAATCTTCCTCCTCTTGCAATTTTGATGCCAAAAGATGGTCTCAAGTATGCTGAGCAGGGCCTTTTTTAGGCTTGGATAGTGAAGTTGGAATGCTTCAGAATAATAGTAGATACAGTTTGTTGTTGGAGGGAATTTGCAATAAGTTGCCTTACAATGTTTATTTTGTGGTTCCATTAGTGGCAATAGCAAATACCTGGCACGCTGGGTTGCATTTCATCCAGGGAACTTTGAGTGCTTTGCAGTCATGAATGTGGTGTTAATATAATTGAGACAGTATTAGGGACCTTATTTTGTGCTATTTAGGAAAACTGTGGAATGAAGCCTTTAGAAATTTGGGAGTCTAGTGAAAAGTTAAACTTGGGGTGTTGTGGTGTTTGGGTTTTTTTGATGTAACCATTTCTTTAGCAGTTCAACTAAAAATCTGGATGTTTGCTTGTGGATCATGGATTTTGTTAATGGATGCTCGTAATTTAGTAACTTTGCAATCTACTTGCTTCCTTTGTTCTTAAGTATTTTTCTGCTGGCTTTTCTATTTGGCATTGAATGGCAGTATAGTTAGCACTGACAAAATGCAGGGAGCTGTTTTAGACTTGCTGAGTCTTGTTGTATTCTGTTTTCAAATCTTCTGCTTTTTTTAACTACCATTACTGGCTTTTTCAATGCTGATTTGATCCTATTTCTTTTTTTCCTGAAATTCCAGCTCTACTCTTTGCGTTTTTTTTTTCATGGACGAGGGGTTGTTGGGGCTTTAAACATGCACCTTTATGGTAGGCTGATGTTTTAAGCCTCTACTTTCTACTGTTTGCTCCTTTCCCTATTGGTGTCTAGTACGCGAGTTCTCTGTCCCCAAGGGTAGGAATCAAACATTATGAATCATTGCTTTCCACTCATATTGGCTAGAGGTGCTGTTATAGTAGCAATGATGATTTGTCATACCTTGTACAGAGTGATTTGTTACGGAAAGCTATAAGAGGTAGATCTGCTATAATGCACAGAACTGGATAAACTGCTATGAAGCCCTTTACTGCTGGGACAATACGCTGGTATGCAGTTTAATTCTTATGCAAAGCAGAATAAGATACTGACTTGAAATTTCATGTGAAGAGATGGGATGTTCTGATAAATTCCTTGGGCAACAGCAAAACAGGAGGCAGTTATAAAAGTTAGAGTTTGGATTTGTAGAGATCTGAATCTCTTCTGCATCCCTAGAGGTTAGTAATCCTACATACAGACCAAAAATGTTATTTGTGCAAGCCGTCCATATGAAAGAGATGAGACAGGTCTGCAGGACAGATTGCAGTTTTTTTTTTCCCTCTTTGAGTCAGGAGTGGAAGTTACTGTATTTTTTTTTTTAAATTTATTTCCACAAATAGTGCCATGAGATCTGAGTTGAGATACGTTAGAAAGGGAAAACTTTGGTAAGAAATGCAATTGCTGTGTTTATATATCAGGGAAGACTCCTTTCACATTTCAACAGTGACTTGCTTTGAGACCTGGGGGTGATTGTCTAGGTTCTTGCAGGCTTGAGGTTAGTTTCTGGGATGAGCTTGAAGAGTGAAAATTCAGTCCCAGCATTCCAGATAGTGGGTATTTAAAATAAAAGCATTCAAACAAAGTGGGGTTCTCTTGCTCATGCTTTTTTGCTGTCACCGAAACTGAATGGATCTGGCTGAAAGCAGTGAGTCGAAATGATACAAAGAGATCTTCCTCTCCAGACTGAGACTTGCACTGGACTTGCATAGTTAGGGAAAGCATTTGCAGACTTCTCCTCCCCCACCTCGAGGTCTTAATATTCAAAGAAGTTGTGCATGTTTCATCTCTTTTTTTTAAAGGGGGTTAAAAAAGGGCTTGTTTGTCATTTTAGTCTGGAGATAGAGCCCTATCTGGATGGTTTTAATCTATAAGGGTAGTATGTATGTGTGTTGCTTGATCCCAAAGCTCGAGTCCAGCCACACAAAGGATGTTTCTGTATATGCAGCAAAAAGCTGCTTTATGGCTGGGAAAACATATATGGTAGGCACCTGTACGTGTTTTGCTTTTGTCCACTGTGCTAAGCAATCACATATGAAAGAAAGATTTAAAGCATGGTCAGCAGGGTATCCTTGTTTCTGACTACTCGGGAGGATTTCTTCATCAAGCACCATCTGGACCTGAGGCAGTATGTAAGATCCCTTTGTGCTGTAATGGAAGATAACCGAAGGCCTCATCCAACATATGTAGTTACAGGTGAGGGATGGGGTTAACAGTACCTCATCTCTGGCTTATCTATCAGCAGTTCACATGAAAACTTAAGTTTTTAATTTGTGTCTTCCTGAACCTAGCATTTGAACCTTGTTTGAAGAGCTTTTGTGCTTAAGCTACTGAATCAAACTTGCCTGTAATCATTCTTATCCTGGAAAGATGTCAAAACATTGTAGTTCTTAGAACTATAACTTTTAAGAATGGTCGTCTTACAGCAAACATGTTGGAAGGAAGCAGGTAATTGGTGCTGTTTTGTTGTCATTGGAGGGAAGGTGGCTGACCATTCTTTTGAAAGTAGTAACTACTGTCGATGCAGTGGAAAGACTGAAAAGTGAAAAATGTTTGCATGTATTCTGTTCACTCTTGCTCTGTGTTTTTGTTTTGTTTAATTTTGTTTTGGTTTTTTGGTCAAGTGACTGAGTCTTAGTACCTTTTCATTATTTCTCTTTTGTGGTCTGTTTGTTCACTGGGAGTTAGTGGTGTAAAATTGTACTTTTAATTTTTGCATCTGTTGTCATCTATTTTCAAATGATCCTTCTTCCATTTCTTATGTTCTCTATGATGTTTCTCTTCCATCGTGAAATTTTTCACATGCGATCATACAGCCTTTCATAACGCTATGACACTGTTGGTTTCACACGTAGAAAGGAAGAAAGAAGGTGCCTCGGGTAGTTTGTATTTAATGTAATGTAAGGAGGATGGTGGTTGCCATACTGTCCAGTGAAAGTAATGAAATGTACTTTATCAGAGTATTTTTTGGAATATGTTTTTCTTGCAGGAAGCAAAACCTTCAGCTGAGGACTTAGGAGATAAGAAAGAGGGAGAGTACATTAAACTCAAAGTCATTGGGCAGGTGAGTGGTTTTTTTATATACATACATGCTTGTGGATGTCTGGAGGTGTAAGGTTTTTTGTACTGTAGGAATGAACAGATGAAAGCTGACACTTTGAGTTCTTCAGTCTAGATTTTTCCTAAATAAACAATTTATCTGTTGCCAGTGATGTCTGTTAGTCTACTCTCTGGCTGTTGTGTGAGGGTTTTTGAAAAGCTATGTAAGTTATCCTTCTGAGAATTTGGTCAGTGTGATCCCTATCTTAAGGTTAGAGAAACTGATGCATTGAGGGGTTAATTTTTCCAAAATCATGGAAGCAATATTGTGGCAAAGCTGAAATTCAGGTCTTTGGAGCTCATTTAGCGCATAAGCCTGAGGTCATCTTTCCTGGACAGGGATCAGAAGAGGATGCTGTTGGTTGACTTGGTGGTGGATGTGAGGGGTGGATTATAGGTCTGAATTTAAGTTGTGTTGGAATGAAAGTGTCCAGATGTGCCTTGAACAGAAGTCCTCAGCAAAGAACCCCTAGTTCATTTAATTGATTTCAATATTGTTTGGAAGTATTGGCATGATTGCTTTATTGACTGGAGACAGATGACCTAAGTAGTGCTAGCATAAATTAGCTTACCTCTTGCTAGTTTAATCAGCAATAATGAGGACGCATTCAAAGGCTAATTATGACCCACTTGCTTTATGCACAGAATCTCTTGCAGTCAGTTGCATTTGCAGCCATTTTGACAGTTCTAGTTATTTATATATCTTTCTTTAGCTGATAGAAAGGACTACAGAATGAGACTTAAATTCACTTTAGGTTAATGTTGTGTTGCCAAGTCAGCCTGTATCCTAACTTCTAGATAATTACACTAATTGATTAAGGTTTAATGTAAATGTTGAAGTGCAAGCTTTAACTTGTCTCTTCTGGAATCTGAGAGTGAAAGTCCCCTGCATATGTATGTTTGTATTCTGTAAGTACATCAGCTGGGTAAAAGATGGAAGCACAGACTGAAGTAAGTATGGTTTTTAAAGCTTTTAAATCTAAAACCTCCGTAGTGAGCCTGAGGCTATATCAGACCATCTGTTTTAAATGCTTCCATGAAAGTGAATGATGAGTTTAATGCATCATAATATAGTCTTCTAAGATGATTTACCAGTTGCTAAGGTATTCACAGTGATAGTTAAACTGTGTTCAGTGCTAGTTTAACAGCAATACAAGTCTCAAAACTAGTGTAGATGAAGTTAGCAATTGCTGCAAAGAGGATAACATTTTTTTCCTTCCTGTTCTTAGGACAGCAGTGAAATTCACTTCAAGGTGAAAATGACAACACACCTCAAGAAACTCAAAGAATCGTACTGTCAAAGACAGGTTTGTAAAACAATGGCGCTATCTCTTATTTTAAAAAAAAAAGCAAACACCACTTTTGCTTTTGTACTCTTACTATACTTTCAAAGACATTTGTTGTGACAGGAAAGCTTCTGTTTAGTTACCAGCAGGACCAGTATTTGACAGGATAAATATAATTGATTTCCTCATTTCTTTTGGCAGATAAAGGTATTTCTATTAAACAGCCTGTTGCAAATTTTGTAATGAGTTCAAATTACTGGTTGAAACTATATGGTAGCTGTTCAGAAAACAAAGGTTAACTTCTAGTATACTCAGGCATATATTTATAGCTATTGTAAAATCTTGCTGCTCCAAGTGAAATCCCATGAAAACTGCAGGATACTGATGCTGTAAGCATGAGGGCAGCCTTAGACGTAGTTACTGTTGTTCATATGGTAATCTGTTAACGTTAGCTATTATGCCTTAATTTAAACAAACTGCAATATTAATGTTTGATGTAGGTAAGTAGTAATTACTGTTACCAGGACAATAAATTTATCTTCACTTTAAGATTCTGTGGCAGGTATTATGGATTCACTGCTACTAAGCATTTGCAGAGGCCTTGGCCTGGTTTATTCCAGCTTTGGGGTTAGAAGATGCCTTTTGTGTGGCCTTGTCTTGTTGTGTTCAAGTCCACTTCAGCAGATACTATCTTAAGAATTAGTGCTTTGCTTTTTTATGTTATACATTGAGACAAGTTGAACTTGTCAATGGAAGCGTTCCTTTGTAGAAATGCTTGCTCGTGCCTTGTTCATGCTATGGTGCATTAGATTTTCAGTCTTTGTATGCTAATGTCAGCATGCTGCTATACAGCTTGCTATCTGACTGGCATAGGAGGAAAGAAAATATGAGATTGAGCACCAGAAATGTTTGTAGCAAAATCCAAGTGACTGAAGCTGTGACTCCTTCTATAAAGTTAAAATTTTAGATCAAGTCTGGAAATAATTGATGCAGTAGCCTTACTGAGTGACTGAAGTATACATATGTGAATTTTTCAAAAAAGAATGGTTGTTATAACAGACATGGCTGAAATCTGGAGAACCTCTTATTACCTTCGCCTACAGTCGACACATTTTTCTGGTGTCAGAGTAACCTTTTTCTGGTAGGGGACTGTGAACATTTCTTCTGAGTGGATTGGGGGATTGTTACAGTGTGAGGAGCTTTTCCCCTATGATTTTTTTTTTCCTGGTAATTTATAAGCAATACTTCTGAGATGTAATTGGTGCACAAAACAGGTCATATTTCGCTTGCATTTGTTTTGCTCATAATGCTCTTGAAAGAAGAAAAAGATGAAGTGTTAGCCTCACCTGTTTAGGTGAGGTATGATATTCAGCTGTAACACAGGCACACTGTATGACAGGTATACTGTGACTTAATCTTATGCACCCATTGGGGTGCTTCTTTCTCCCTGTTTGAATGGTGCTTCTTTCTGCTTCTCACCTCTGCTCTCTCCCCTGCACAACATAAAACTTCTGCAGATTGGATAATGGTGAAGGGTGCTGTTCCTTCTTATGTTGCTGTAGGGTTGGGAAAGCGAGGGAGGGGGCTTCTGAAGTACATGTCATGTTATTCATGTTGTGGTAGAATCCTTAATAAGGGTGTGAGCATACTTAGTTCAGAAAAAGACTTTGACTTCCATACGTAAAATTGTCTTGGGAAGGAGGGTGTAGGAATGAATACTTCAAAAAAAGCAGGGGGGATGATGCTGAAGAAACTTCCCAGTTGTTGAACTCCTGTGTGACTTTGAAATAAACATGCACGTTAGTGCTAACATTCTCCTTGACTTGCTCTTTCAGAGTCTACGTGGGAGCCACAGAATAATTGAGCTTACTGTAAAAAAGGAACAGTTTCCTTTTTGATTTTTCACATGGGTTGTTTTTATTGAAAATGTATGTCTTATGAATATGTGCAAGTTTCAGTTACATTTTCTTGTATATATGTTTTCTTAGGGTGTTCCAATGAATTCACTCAGGTTCCTCTTCGAGGGTCAGAGAATTACTGATAATCATACCCCCAAGGAGGTGAGTTTTCTCTTTCTAGAAAGTGTTCACTGGAAAAATTAAATACATATGTGATAAGTTTCTGTTCAGCCAGGCTGCTAACCTGAAGATATTTCTTTAAATAGAGTCAATTCTGGCTCTCATTTATTAGAAGAAAGTGCAAATAAATAGAAAATAGGTTACTTTTGTTATCCAGTGACTTCTAGCAACTGGTATGACAAAGCAGGAAGAAACATTGAGTTATAGTAATGACCTTTTGAAAAAATCTGAAAGAAAACTGTGTATTGTGGAATTGGTTAAATTATCCTCTTTGAGGGAACAGTTGTAAGCAGGCAATCTGAGTTGCAAGCTTTGGGTCTTAGCTGTATTGTGAGGTAGGAGCGTGCTGTTTATAAGCCATGTGGCTCTACAACTGGTGCATTAGCTATGTCAGTGGTTGCATTCCTGTGCATCTGTTGCACAAGAAAGGATTTAGAGAAAGATAAAGCTGGTGCCTTCCAAGCTGATGTGTTCTGCTCCACGAGTGGATTTAAGGGCTGCTCCTTTGACTGAGATGTGCTGTAGAGATGAAACATGAGAGAGAGACAAAATCACTAGCGATGGCTAGTAAGATAGTGATTGAAAATTTCTTAACCCGTTTGTCTTCTGAAGGATTATGGTGAGACAGAGGAACAAACCATTCTATAGCTTGTCTAGGACCTTCTCTGAACACCAGATTTATAACAATTATGTGCTGTTTTTTCTCTGTTCTCACAGCTGGGGATGGAGGAGGAAGATGTGATTGAAGTTTATCAGGAACAGACGGGGGGTCACTCAACAGTTTAGATCCTTCTGTTTTCTTTCCCCTTGATCCTTTTTTATTTTTAAATAATAGTTCTTTTGTAATGTGGTGTTCAACACTGAATTGAAACTGGCACCCCATCTCTGGGAGTTTATTTTCAAGCGTCTGGTATTTGAATTCTCGTGCTCATTATACACTATTGTTTCTGTTTTCATTGTGCTGAACTTCTGTGATCCAGCTGCAGCCCTGCTCCTGTTTTTCCCTTCCGCCCTCCCCTTTAGAAATACACGTACACACATGCATTTGTATGTTCACTAGGTTCGTGCATTTCAGGCACGAAGGTTGTAAGATCTGCCAGGTGGGCGAGTGTTCTTAATGACTTCCATATCGGCCCTGAAGTTTTGATGTGTGACTGTTTCACTCCTGGACTATAACTTTCAGTGCGAGACGAAGTTTTTCAGAGAACTAAACTGTGGAGAAATTGTGTATCCATAACTCAGAGCTATTTTGCTTAAATTGTGCTGATGGCCCAGCGAAGAAGATTACCAAGTTGGAAATGGAAAAGCTAGAACTGTTGTCATCTGTACTTTGCTCCAGAGATGGCTTTGCTGAAGACATAAAATTGAAAACCCTAATGATTCTTAAATCTTGCCAGAAGAGCCCAGAAGCATTCTAACTTCATATAGCAATTAGTACACACAGGTATTCATGCAAGAATGTTCACAGCAGACAACTGGTGTTACTTTGACACTCTTGTTTGTACCTTTTGGCCTGGGACGTGGGTTTTGAATGGACATTGTCTGTACCAGCTTCATTAAAATAAACAAGAAAAACGATTTTATAAACAATAATTTGTATCTTCTTTTCAAATGTTTGGAAATGAACAAAAACATAACAAGTGATAACTAAAACTTGTCTTTCTAGTACATATCCATCGAAGCCAGAAGAATTGTGCTCTGTAAATATGCCTCATAAAAAAAAAAAAACATTTACTTATTTTTCACTTGTCCTAGTAAAACGCTTGATCAGTTTGGTTTGTAGGTAATTTTTTGAGACTACTAGCTATTTCTTGTTCTATTGGTAGAGAATATTCATATACAGTTAAGCTTCACTTTATATCCTCAAGGGTTAGATTGAAAATGCAACTTTGAGGGAAATATGAAGAGGGTTTTCTTAATAACTATGTGTCATTTAATCATGATGTCACAGAAATAATCCTTATATGATGGATGAACTGTCTTGGCATATCCATGTTATTAGGCACCACTGTGAGGGTTCTCTTTATGTAATAGCTAGTTACAGGGTTCTAAATGGTCAGTTTGAAATAACCTGTTATGCCCCATTGGGTATGAAAGCTCTGATAGGAGGTTACAGGCAGGGCAGTGCAGAGCGTTCTGCACTCTCCCTGCTTCATCGCTCCTGCGGATAAATAGGTCTTGTTTCTGCTTTGGTTTTGTTGTGTAAATCACAATCACTTTATGAATGCCAAATTCATTTAAAGACGCACATTTTAGTGCTGGCATACTTAGATGAAATTGCAGATGGGTTTTGAATCATCAGGTTTTTATGGCACTCGCGGTAAAGTTATAAATGCATTTCCTTTCATGCCTGTGGTTCCAATGTCCTATTTCTGCTCTAGCAATATACTTTTGTACGCATAGTTGCACTAAGCAATTTTTTAAAGATTAAAATTTTTGTTTACAAAATGTCAGAATATGGGGTTTTCTTAAAGTATTCTATGTAATTAAATTCTTTGGGGGAAGGAGGGACTGCTATTGTGATGTAGAACAATGCTTTCTTTGGACTGCTCTCCAATTGCTTTTTTAGAATATCCAATATATCTGCTTCAGGGTACCAGAAATAAGTAGCCTTGTAATTTAATATCACATCCTAATTTAAATTTGTGCACTGCTCTTGTTAGTAGGCAAGTTCTCATTATTCCTGTCTTACAAATTAAGAACTGAGGCACAGGGAACAGTGGCTTTTTTTGGTCACTCAGGAAGCTGAAAGTGGAGCTGGGAAAAGAATCCAGATCCCCTGGATTCAGTACTAGTATTCTAGTTGCTGCACCAATTTTCTTTGATTCTTACCGCCCACCTTCCTCTTCCAAGTCTGCATTTTAGATGCTTGTTTATATCAACTTTCTAGCTGAAGTATTGCATTTAACTCTTTTGAGGCTATGGAGGAGGATTTGCTGTGGAATGGTATTTTGGCTTCGGTGGGATGACACTCAGGCTGAGGTCCTGTGACCTTGTTCTAAAACATCTCTTTAGAGTGTGTAGTACCAGTGGCAAACTGATGTAACCTCTTTCTCAGGTTTGTTATGAAGCCTTAAGGAGTTAGTTCCTAAAAGGAGCTGCTGGTCTATAGAAATGTCTGTACTGTTACAGCTATTGATGAAACAGTAATAACAGCAAAACTACTCCACTTCAAATATTAGTATTAATGTTTGTATAAAATGAGAAGATGCACAAGCTTCTGCACACAGATGCATGATTACCTTTTTAAGGAAGTTCATTTTTGGATGTTGTACACTGAAGCAAAACCTGATTTTTGAAGTTGAGGAGTGGGCAGAGACTTTTTTTTTCCTCTTTTCTCTGGAAGAAGTTATACTTTTTAGAGTTTCTTTCTGAAAATGCAGTCTTGGGTGGAACTGATAAACAACCACTCATGCCTTTGAAGCTAGTGACTGGAAGTCAGATTGGCCTTTGTATGTTGGAGGAAGAATAGAGAAGAGGATTTTCTTTTCTAAGTTTTTTCCTTTATATGCTTACCAGTATATTAGAGTAATTGATGAGAGCCCTTGGTTGCATTACTAGTGTATTTTTTTTTAAGTGAGAGGGAATGAAACCACCTTCACTGAGATGGTTTTGCCTTAAATATTTTTAATTAGGAAAATTGCATCTTTAATATCCACTATAGTGGTGTATAAAGGCTGTATTGATAAGTGCTGTCTGTGTTCGTATTTGCTTACAGCTGGTATGTTTAAAGGAGCTGTATATTCTCTTAAAAGTGTATATACTTGAGTGTAAATCCAACAAAAGATTGTGCAGTTAAATGTGTTTGCAGGATTTGTACTTCAGTTAAAATTTCAGATGGTGCTAAAACTTGATCTGCCACAAACTCTTCTGGCTACTGAATAGTACAGGTTTTTAATTCTTACTACTTTAAACAGAAATTATTTTAAAGAGTACAATACAAATAATTCTGACCTGTGCATCTTCTGTAAACATTTCTGAGTAATTGCTGTGCAGGTAAGCTTTCTTCATTGAGAAGATCAGCTTCTGAGACTCCATACAGAGAGCTGTAGGAACGGTGCATGTTAATTGGTAACTGTAAATTGGTGGGAGTTTTTTTGCTTTTAGAACCAGTGCTTGATAAATATTTAATTCAAATGAAATTCATTTTCAATTTAGGAAGACCACAAAAATTGATTACTTTTCTCCCCAGATCTACAGGAACTTCAATATAATTTGAATCTACAAAATGTTTCTTTCTTTTGCTAGATTAATACTAGTGAAGCAGAAAACAAGATGAACCTGGTATGAAAGGAAGAAAAGTTTATCTTGTTTATTTCTGTAGTGCATAGGGCTAACACTGAAGTCATCTAGTCTTTTCTGAAATAGTAGTACATAAATCAGTTGTTTTGGGGGATCCCTCTGAAAGTCAGAACTGAGGTCTTTCATACCTCATGTAAACTGTGACAGTTCCAGTGTTTTCTGTCTTACTACGAAATGGCCTAAAGAATCTGGGCTGAAGCAGCAAATGATAAACAACATGTACTCTGGCACCTCAAGAGGTTGTAAAGGTCATTGTGGTCTGTCTAGGTTAATTTCTACTAGCTGATAAAAAAGATGAATGCTTTTACTTCCTATCTATAGGGTGCATATACAGACTAGACTTGTAATCTGGGAAAACAAGTTTGGGAGCGAGAGTAGCACCTAATCCAGTAAAGGAACATTGTTCTGATTTTGAATCAGGTTAGAACCTTGAATTATGTTTGAACTGAAAGAGCTCACTGCAGTGACCCATCTCTGGCACTAAGCATTTATTTATTCTTTTGTACTGTTTTCGGGCCTAGTTTTTCAAGCAGCTGAAAATAAGAAAACACCCACGGACAGGAAAGTCTTGTGTGTTCTAGTCCAGTAATTTCTATTAGTAGTGCTCACTGGCACTGCAGGCATTGCTCCAGAGCTGCTTTTTGTCTGCAAACTGTTAATAAAATGGATTGAAGATACAGTACAGAATTTTTTCCTTTGGTTAGAAAGCTGGTGCTTTGACTTGAAACCTACAAATTCAATAGGCTCATTGCTTGTTCATTGGCAATTTGTTTGACTTTGCCACAGTATGCACAGTGCCTTTTGAGCAGGAGCCTGGACTTGCCCCAGGAGTTGGCTTTGAGCAAGCTTTGGAATGGGCAAGGGAAGAAAACTTTAGCTTATGCTAATATCTTGTTGTGGGCCAATGTGTTCTTCATGTCAACAGTATGAATAGAGCAAGCAGGATATTTAGGTGAAGTCACGGCATATACTCTTATCCTTTGTAGTGCTTTGTGGCTGACAAATTGATGTAGGCTCCTCTTAAGAAGGGCTCTGTGCTGTGTGCAGCATTTTGGTAAAGAATATGTGAACTCCAAGTCCTGCCTTCTGAGGTGCTAGTAGGAATGAGTTCTGCAAGTGTGCTGGAGTCGGCTCTGATGGACTGCATAAAGGTAATCATAATTTCAGCTCTGTGGGGAAATCTATGCTTTTTTTTTCCTGTTGTGTAAATGGATGTTATCTATATCTTTGAACTCTTCACGTACATCCTAAAAGCCCTAGAGTTGTTAGTGCAATTTAGGGGAGCAATGGAAAACTGGTTGAATCACAAAAGAACTGTTGTAGCTTGGAGTTTGAATTGAAGGCAGCTTAACCAACTCCTGAGGGTACTGATACTGCTCTTCAATGTGAACTACACTGATAAATAAGTCCTGACTGGCACCAGTTATGCAGATGTGTTGTTGTTCAAAGAAAAACAAAAAACTGTACTTTCTGAATAATAGCTGTGTACCTGATTAAAAGCTGTGCTTGTCTTTTGGCTTCTTCTAAAAGTAGTCTAGCCTTTTCCTCTGCTCCTCAGCCTCACATGTTGCCTTTTCTTCCTCCTGATTTCTTCTTTCATACTCCAGGCGTTGTTGTTCTGCCATCTCCACCAGCTGCTGGCGTTCCTCCTCTGACCACATTTCTTTCTCTGTCTCCGTTTTCCTGCCTCTTAGGAACAGATCACGAAACAAGTGTTAGCGGCTCACATGCTTCCTATTTAGGAAATATTTTTTCATCAATTACAAATAAGGAGAAATTACAGTTCAAATACTGACATTTCAAGTATTTAAACTGATCTCAAAAACATGAGGTTTGGCTGAGATTAGGCAATTTAGGAATAATTGTAATTGGATTTTTTTAAAATCTGATTGGCATTTAGGATGTCTGTTTTCAAGCTTTCCTCTGCAAATATTTATGCTAGAAATAGAATCTTCAACTCTAGAGCTACCGGGACTAGGGCTTCCAGAGAAGTTACCAAATATGCTGAAAACATCAATAAATTAACAAATGTGGCATAAATGCAATTGTTGCTAACATCTTATGCAACTGTGTCATAGCCAGGCTGTGGAATTTTCCTTCTTCATGCTGTAGGGACAATTGTTACCATCTCTTTTATAGAAGAAGAGCTGAGGTGCTGCACGTTTGGGGCTTAGTGTCACAGAAGTTCCATGGCAGAGCCACAAACTAAGTCCAAGTTCTGTGCCTTTACTAGAAATCATCCTTTCTCGTGAATTATCTGCAGATAAAGTAAGCATTAGCCTTTCTATAGACCACCTGCTTGTTCTTGTTCCTCTGGCTGTCTCCTCTTCTGGAACTGCAGAAGCTTTCTGCAATATTCCTCCTTCTGCCAAATACGTTCCTGCGCTGCTTTCTCTAGCTGTGACTTCCTTGCTGCCTCCTCCTCCTCCTGGCGCCTCCGCTCTTTTTCTAGTCTCTGTTTCTGTAAACTAAAACATAAATGATTATTAATTGCTATAGCAACCTTGGGTCTGCTGAACAGTCTTGCCAGAAGAAGAGCAGGTTCTGGCCCAAAGTGCTAAACAGATTGCCTAAGTGAAGGGGGGAGAAATCAGAATAAAGACAGAACAGGTGCTGGTTAGTGAAACTTAGCATATGTCTGGTTACTTATACAAATTATTGGGGGGGGGGAGGAAGCTGACTCTCTAATTTTCACCATGCCATCTAGGATATGTCTGGTTACTTAGACAATTTATGGGGGGGGGGAGGAAGCTTACTCTCTAATTTTCACCATGCCATCCCCAGGGGATGAAAATCTGAATTATAAACCTTTTAGATGTGTGTTTTAGAGGATATGAGTTCTGTATCCTCATCTCCCCACAGTATGTGATTTATATGAAACAAAGATGTGGAGACGAAGGATGGAGTCGAGCACAGGGGTAGCTAGGAAAGTTCAGAGTGCAAGAGCTGGAGAAAAAATTGTCCAGGTTTGTGTGTTCTTGTGGTGCAAACCCAGAACAAGAACCTAGGTGATGCAGCAAGAGAGAGGAGGCAATGAAAGTGTCTTGGATGAGATTTAGATGTGAGCAGAATGGTGGTCAAAGTGGGTTATTTTTTGCAGGGGGGTTCACATTGAGAATAAGGAGCATGAAAGAAAGTCAAGGACGCTAATGAAGGGAAGGAATAGTCTCTTATTTTCGCAATAGGTTCAGTTGCCCTTAATTTCCTCAGGTCTTCCATTTCACTCACTGACACTTATGATCATCTCCCTAACTAACCTGACGTTCTTGGTCCAGAAGTTTGACCTGAATGCCTGCTTGGCCTTTCTCAGATTGAATGAAAGAGGGCATAGCACTCATCTAGGAAAATTCTGTCTAAGTCAGATCTGCCCTTCTCAAACATCTAATCTAATAAAATATACTCTTTCTACAAACCTGCCTCTCCTGTAATCCCAGGATCAGAGCATACATCTCAAGTATTCAGTAATTTCTAGGTAGGCTGCAGCTCTTCAAAATCACCCAAGGAGGTCGCTGTTCTCCTCAACAAAGATCGTTCTTAATGAAAAAGGCAGTATAACATAGAAGCAGAGCTATGGGATGGTGTCAGAAAATGCATTTTGTGTAAGCAGACCAGTTCAAAAGGTAAATAGAAATGGGATAATTGTATACCAGAGTCCACTTCTGATATTGATGTGTCTCCCAGAGCTTTGTCTTTACTTAAGGTTCTTTCCTAAAGTTATGGCAGCTGAGGTAAAGACGCAAAAATGCTCATACTGCTTTTTTTTAACTAGTATAAAAATTCTTGTGTTACGAAAAAACTTGCACTCTGTGAGGCATCTTTATAAGCATGTAGCTGTAACCACGCTAATGTTTTTACTGATGTGACTTTGTCAAGCAAAAAGTTCTGTAGGGGTTTTGTTGCTGTCTCACTGCTGTATGTGAAACGTAGAATATTGTCTCCATGAAGTTGCTGCATTCAACTAATCAAAAACTGAATTTGTGGTATGACTAATAGTTTTCCACTGTCACACAAGGTAGGTCTTGAAGTTTGTCTGGGGTCTAGTATTATTCAATATTTTCATTAATATCTTGGAAAACTCACAATTTTAGGCTTATTTGGGAGTCCTTGTAAGCGTTTGAAGGATGGACTCAGAATAAAGATAAAAGTGTGAAAGTCTTAACAATAGATGGGGTGAAATTAGTAAAGGCATAGACAAAATACTATGTTTAGGGAAAAATCAAATATGCTACAAAAAGATGAGAGTTTATATATGCACGTGTTTCAGATGACGATTTCTGTGATGTTCTCATCTGGTTGGGCATGTGTCTGGGGAATACCAGACGGGTTTGCTGGCTCCCTCATGCTGGTATGTCTTGCTAGTACCCTATTATATTGGGAGGATGCTTGGTTATATATATTTGTTTATTGCTGGATCATTGGTTTGGGTACATACACTTGGCTGTATTTAAAAAAAAAAAAAGAGAGACAGACAGACTATAGTAGTTTTAGGTTATCATTCCACCCAAATATTCCCTTCTCAGATATCCTCACTAACCAACCGCGTGTCCTCTGTTCTCCTCTGTTGTTCCTTTGCCAGTTCTGCTTTCGTTTTTTCCATTTGTTCCTGCTGCTCTTGCTTTTTCCACTTGTTCTTCTTATTCCTTTCTTTTCCTCTCCACTTCTAGCTGCCTTTTTTCTGCCTCTTCTGCTCTTTTTTCCTGTGCTCATTTCTCCTCTTGCCATTTCCCAGGAGGAATCTGAACAGGAATATAATTAATAATGCACTTAAGAGTTGGCATTCCATGAATGGGGGGTGGTTTATCCATTCTGTTATTAATTGAGGTTCAAAATTCTTGGGGGGGAAAAGAAAGTGCTTTTTAGACCAGATGCATGCTTAAAGTTGATGTGACATATATGGGACGCTTCCTGTCAGCGTGGCTGGCAGTACCTATTTTCTGTATATGGTAAATTTTTATTCTTTTTCCTCTTACAGGCACTCACTTCCATGACACATGATGACTCTTACATTAATTTCTTTGCATTTACTATCTCAATATGTCACTACTTAAACTACCCTCTTTGAACATGTGCCAAGGGCACATTTTGCCTTGTCGTTTTTCTGTAGTTCTGCTCTGAAGCATATCTGATGATCCTCATTACCTTGGTCCCTGCGCTCCCTTCAAGAGAAGGGCTTTTTTGAGAATGATGTTAGAGATTTATGGTCTGGAAACTGCAGCTTGTGCTGGGCCCAAGCCTGCTGCGGCGCAACGCGGGACGAGGTGCCGCGGGCTATGGAGCAAGGCGGGTGCCCCTGTCGTGGCTTCTCGTGCCTTCCCATGTGGATGATGCTCAGCCTGAAGCAGAGCCGAGGCGGCGGTGGGGCTGGGAAGGCGCCTGCACGGGCTGGAGACCAGCCCTCCTGTGGGCGCGGGGGCCCTGGTTGTTGGGGTGCTGACATGCTGAGGAGGTGGCAGCCATTTTGTGGGGGAGGCAGTGGCCATTTTGTGGCTGAGGCGGCCGGGAGGGGGGGGCGGGGGGGGGTGGGGTGTCTTGCCTGGCTGAGGTGGCAGGTAATGTTTGCGCTGCATAGGTCATCGTTCTCGGTGGGGTTTTTTTTTTTGTTTGTTTGGGTTTATTTTTAATCCCCTTGTGGGAGTTACCTCAGCACGTGTCCCCTCCCACAAGTGCCACTTCTCACCTCTGAGGCGCCGCCGCTCCTGCCTGCTGCTGTGTGGGTGCTACCCGCGAAGGTTGGAGGCGAGTGGCTCAGCCCGGGGAGAAGGCTGCAGTTGCCCATGTGGGCCTGGTAGTTGTCAGGGAGGGCTTCATCCCCCTCAGGAGGAGAGGGGGAGGGAGGGCAGCTGCTGCCTGCCTCACCGCTGCTGCCAGCAGGGCTGGCCGGCTCTGTGCGTGGGCCCTGGGCTCCCCTCTCCCCTGTGGGCTCCAGCAGGGCCTCCTGCCTCCTCACTGCAGCTTGTGCCTTCTCCAGCTGGGCCCTTTTCTTCCCTGTGGTTCTCTTCTCTTTTCCGTTTTCCTAGAAAAACACAAGTCTTTCTGAACTTCATACAGCCAAATCACTATTACGCTGCTGCTTCATTGGTCTAGCTAATATCTTTTTGGACGCAATAGTAGTTGCTTGCTCAAAGTGCAGATATTTCAGTGTAGAGGTAAGTCTTTACTAATGAGATAAATTTTATATTTATGTTATATTTTTGTGCTGGGGGAACAAACTTCAGAGCAAATTGTATATTAGATGGAAGCATTGTGTTTTAATCTACAAGTCTTGTTCCACGTGAGAGAAATTGCTTAATCATATAACTTGATTCTTAAAAGAAATTTGTACTCTTGATCTTTCTGCCCCATCTTGTTTCCTGCTCTGCTTGAGTTCATCAAATACACCAAAAAACTTATTTTTAAGCTTCAGCATTGTGGTCAAACAGGTGTAACGAAAAAGAATCAAAACTGAAGTGAACTTCCAAACTGGGTAAACATTAAAACTTTGATACAAATAGCTCTTAATCACTAATAAATTATCTTAACTTATACTCCTGCTCCAACTGCTCCCAGAAGGGCTGAGGCGCTCTGTCTAGATTAAATGCTCTCACATTTAATGGACTTCTGTGGACAAATGGTAGAATCCATTATGTCTGTCAAAGGAAATCTGGAATATGAGACAGCTTAGTGCTGCGTCTGGTCTGCTGGATTACTTCACACAAGTTATTTTGTCTTCCTCCGAAAGTCTGCTGCCTACAGGGTGAGACCCAGCATAATCCACCTTTGTGTCTAGGTACCACTGCAATGCAAACAGGCATGCCTAAATAACCTCAAACTATGTTTATGAAATAAGTGCATGCTCCAGTAGACATGCTTGGGGAGTTTCTGTTTCACCACTGTGGTCTAGATAGAGAAAACCTAGCTGTGGTGTCTACTTGTTAATACAGCTTGTAATTCTTGACTTCTGGTACTTTTTTTCAGAAAAACAAACAAAAAAACCTCTTCTACAAAGACCTACGTGAAATGTAGTTGAAACTTTTTTGTTAGTAACACTTGCTATATCTTATTTGAGGCTTAGTAATAATGGAATGGGTTTTAATAACTTAATCAGTACCATTCACAAAAACTAAAAAATCCCTAAGTGCCAGAGTCATCTTTGGCTTTTGATCTTGCAAACAACCAGCAAGCAAAAGTGCACACAAGTTGGCTGGACCCTCTGTTGTTCCCTTTTACAGGAATTGAATATGATACAGTAATCCTTTGTATACCCTTGCTATATCTCCAGTTGCAACAACTAGAAAGCTGCATTTGAAGAAAGCAAGATGCTGAAGCTAAGATCTTTTTGTTTATTATCCTTACTGACAACAAATTCTGCTTTGTGATATTGCCTTTTTTATTATTGATCTTTTCCTGTGTTTTGGATGCTGTGTCCATCTTTGTCAACTTATGACTGATGCTCTTTGTGGCTTTAGTCTCCAACTCCTGTGTCCTGGAAAAAAAGGTCAAAGTGTGTGTGCTCCTACATGCTGATGAAGGGTATTAATTCACCTCTTGGCAAACAGCAACTGTTGAAATCCTTGTACCAATTTGTCAGTTGCCTCACAAATTTTGCTCATAAAAGAATATCTATATTTCTTCAGGAAGTGCATGCTAAACTTTACCACAGCTGGTGCAGTCAACTCTTCTGAGAACATCCCAAATCAAAGATACTCCTGTGTTACTGAACGTGGAAAATTCTGCATGAGAACCTATGAGACATGAAGACAACTTCAGGTTACTCTGTGTACTTACTGATGGTGAATACCTGAGGAAAATGAAACTATCTTCCTCTAAAAGTTACAGTTAATGAAACTATCTTCCTCTAAAAGTTACAGTTTAGCATTCATGCTAAAAGCAGAAACAATTCCTGTTGATTGTGTAACAAATTGTCTAGTTTGCTGTGTGGGTTTGTTGAGTTTTATTGTTTTGTCTTTACTTGTTCTTGATGCAACTACTCCTACAGTTCCTTTTTCATATTACATACTAGTTTGACTGTTTACTCTACACAGGGACCCTACTATTTCACTTTATCCTATGACCAGTCCTTGGACCAGTTACAGACACCGGAGAAGAGATGTGACCTCAGAAAATACTTGGAGCCAGGATTTTCTCATCCTCTGCTGTTGCTGTGTTTTTTCAGTGCTGATGGCCCTGTAAAGGGATTATAAGGAGAAATGGTGTTTTACCATCAATCAGTGGTGTCTGTATGCAGAAGAGTCCTTCTATATGCATGTATATCTTTCTTAGCAGTTGGTTACACATGATTTGCTCTGCAAATGAGTGGGTATTGTGCTACCTTAGCACTGTCCTGGCGGGAGGAAGCAGACAAACTGTAGCATGAGCCAGAGAGTACTTACTGCATTACAATCAGTATCTGAGCTGTATTGGAATCCAATCTCTATCATAAATATTTAGACTGTTAGTTTCTTCTGAAAGGCATTCTAGGCAACTGGACAGGAAGCCTTACTGCTGTAGGACTTACAATACCAAAGCTATTGCCAGCTGCTTTTTCCTCCACTCTCTTTTGGCTTGGATGTCTCTTCCTCTCTCACAAATTGTTTTTCAGAATTACTTGTTTGTACTCCAGACTTCTTTCTCCGTTTCCTGATGGCTAGATCATCTCAAAAGACTTGAGCCAGATTCAGATGCTATATCCTGCCTTTAAAAAATTGGGAGATGGGAGAGAACAACAATAAAATTAACTACATCAAAATCCAAAGTATTAATTCCAGTAATAAAAAAAAAAAACAACTTTCCTTAGGAAGGGGTAGGAAAATCTTGTGCTTTGGTTTTGCTCCTGCCTTACCCCCTCACCTTGCTTTGCACATCCATAAGCCCTGAAACCCTTTGGAAGAATTTGTCAGTAACACATACTGAAAAACTCATGTAATTACAGTGGCCCTAGCAGGTAACTGCTTCTCTCCTTGTTACTGGGGAAAGTGAGTCCCAGTCTCTCAAGCTGCAGTGAAGATCCTAAGACTGGTTTGCAAGTGCCTTGCATGAATATTTTAATACTGTGTTTTCATTTCTGTAACAGCTATTGTCCAAAGATCTCAAAGTATTTGATGAACTAATGGTTTGATTTTATTTTTATTTTAGGAGTGAGGTGAGCCCATAGCTTCCAGTGACTTTAGCGGCAGCAGTAAGTGCTCAGTTTCTCTGAAGAGTAAGCTACAAATAATGGCATTTCAGATTTCAATGAAATAAGTTCTGTGTAAATATTCTACGAAATCCTGTTTGAAATGTGTTTCCTGAGTATGGCTCTAAGAGCTGTGTTTGTAAATCACTAGCATAATTAAAAGGAAAAGAGACTTTATTTTGCTTCCTGTTTTAGGGTGAATTGGTCTAAGCAAGCAATTAAATCTGAGACATATGACTTTAATGAAAAAAATGTGTTTAAAAGAGTTAGCGCTATCATGACATGTTGCTCATGATGCCAGAATATTACGGAGTATTCACAAAAAATGGCAAATGCTCATTTCTAGCATGGAATGTAATAATTATAGCTTAATACCAAAGTTTCATATAAAACATTTATTTTTACTTTTTAGGGTGAGGGAGAAGGCTAAAAATTCTTTCATAATCAAAGTTGGATATTTAGTTTTATTTTCATTTTGGTCTAGAGATTAATTCTGCCTTCTCCTTGGGTAACTATTGTAAATAAATGCTGTGTGACTTGTCCAGGACTATAGGGAGAGCTGTAAAGAACAATGTGCTAGGTATCTGTCTTTTCCCTGTGTTTTTAGAGTCCATGGTACTTAACATCACTTCACTGGTGCAAAGCAGTCACAAACTGGACTTAGCTGCCCATTTAAGACTCACTTAAACTTGTCTTGTATCACCCCATTAGTGCGAAGACAGCAGAAGTTAGCTCTTGTTAAGTTTTCTGCAGTGTCACACATGCCTCTTGTTTCTGGCAATGTATTTTCTGTACAACTGACACCTGTTAGTTTTCCTCTAAAATCTCTCTGGACTGGACTGTATGGTTATGCGTTTAACTTGAATGAATTGATTTTACACCTAAAGAGCAAACTCCATGAAGCCCCTCACTTTTTTTTTTTCAGTCCTAGTTTTTAGAGGGCTCATCAAGGTGTCTTAAGAGTGCTTAGTTGCTGTGGCAGTTGAGTGTCTTAATTTGAGGAGAGGAATCGACAGAAGATCTGTCTCTGACTGTATAAATAGGAGACAATGACCATCCTTTCTCACTATGAATATGGGCTATAGAGGCTGCTATTGTTGGGGGTGCAATTGCTGAGAAATTTCTCTCTGTTTCACTGCGTTAGACAATATGATAGGCAATAATGTAATTAAGATGCGTGGCTACAAATAGAAACATAGGAAGTGGAAGCCTAGTCTCAGTCTTGTTTTCAGAACTTTTCACTGAAGGTAAAATGCAAAAAAAAAAAAAAAAGTGGTTTCTGTATAAACTTATATCTCTTTAATAGTGTATGCTGAAAGGTCAAAGTAGGTTTCCAGTTGTGAAATGCTGCATTCAGGGTTTCTGTACGTTTGCTTGTGTGGATCTGTAAAAGTAAAAATCATCTATTTTAGGCAGGTTAGGCCAGGCTTACGTTTGTGTAGGATAGTTTTTCTCTCTGAACATTTGTGCCACAGCTGTTACTCAGTGCCATTGGTCTCAGTAAACAAGTAGCCAAACCAAAGGATGATAGGAGAGCTTTGGTTCTAAATCTGACATTAAAAAAGAAATTGTTTAACTCCTTCAGCCCCAGCGAAATTTGGAACTTGCTATCACACTCTCTTTTGTCAGAAGTTATGGATTTGATAGTCTTGTCAAATGCATTCTTTCTCCGTTTCTGGGGCCGCAAAAGGAATGACTTAAGAACAGCTACTGCTTACATGTTAAATTAGTCGGAAAATGAGGGGTGAAGCATAAACCAAAATAACTCTCCGAACTTAGTTTGGGTTGAAAGACTTGTTAGAGGCAAACCTCACAATACTGATGTTCTTTGTCTTCTCCAAATTTTGAGTGATTTTAGATGATATTTCAGAATTTAAGGTTTGGGTTCTGATCTACTTCCAGATCTTTGAACCAATGTTGAGCCTTCAAATGATAAGATAGGTGCAAGTTCTCTCCTGAAACCTGGTATCAGCCAGCAGCAATAAAGGGACTTTTTTCTTTAATAAATAATGTTTGCAGGTGACCAGAATGTGAAGCTGCCAGAACAGCACTGTGATGTGCTGTCAATCATCCAACCTCAACTGTTGGGAAACGGAAAACTTCATAAAAACAAAACGGTCTCTCTTTCCTGATCAAGCCTACTTCCCTAGGAGATGATTTGCTCTGTAGCTTCAGTTGAAAGTGCAAGAGATTAAACTGTAGAGGTAAGCAATTCTTGGGCAGTGGCCGATTGTTCTTCCAATGTAAGTTTAAGGACACTAGTGAGGAAACCTGCTAAAAGAAGGAAATCTAAGGCGTGGAGAGGAGGGAGAAGGATTTTCACTGAGAAAAGCAAGCTGTAAGGGCCGGGATCGTAAGGCACCAGTAGAGAGCACCATTGTTCCAAAGATGTGTGAAAAGCTGTGCAGAATAGTAGTGTTTTCTGTCAGGGCAAAGTGTTGTGTTACTGTAAAAGCTCCCTTCGGTTTTTAATAAGAAATAAAAACCCTCCTAAAGAAGGATCTCCCCTCTCAGACTTTTTTACCTCACAAAAATATCTGGACAAAGTTGCACAAGGACCACCTTACAGTTAGAAAGGCATAATAATCCCATATTTTTGCTCTTTCATGCTTCTTGCCTTTCTGACTGGCTTAGGACATGTGCAAAGCTTGCCTCAAAAAAAGCCTTTAGCGTGGGGGCACTTTTATATGCCATGGGCTGTTGGTCAGAAAAGGACTGAGAAAGATGCAACTTCCAGCTAAATATGTGGTTATGAATCTCATAATTTGTCTAATGTGGGGATCAAATTCAACATAGCAACAGTGTGAGCAGCTCTTCATGAAGTTGTCAGTCTCTGTTCAGGTTTACAAAGTTATCAGTGCTGTTGGAAATGGTGCCCCCTTAGTGTGGGGGTATGCTATCTTCCTGCTCTGAGCTTCCTTCTGAAAGTGTGCACCAGTCTCATTTTGGCTGTAAGGCTGATTTTACAAGCCCAAGAAGGAACACGGCATTCCCAGCTGTTCTGTTCCCCATTACTGTCTGTAAGGCTGAAATGGGCCTATTTCTTTTGTTGGGACATGTGTACTTGCTTGGTACCTTCTTGACATATGAGCAAAACCTCGTAGAATTTTAGAGCTCGAACACATTTCAACAGCAGATTTGACTGAAGCTGCAACTTCTCACCTTACTGCACACTGGAAGCTTCCTGAACCTGAATGTTGCATGATCTTAGTTGGCGGGTGATCACTTACCTTGCCAAACCTTTCTAGTGTGGTGGTAATGAAATCTGAAACCAGACAAGTTTTGCATGGTTCTAAATTTCATCACAAATCACATCTCACACTTCTCATTTCTTGCCTGAGGGGGGAAAACTTGAGTATCTTTGTCTCCAAAAAGAAGGCAACGCCTGCATAGTTCCGTCATGTTACCTGATTATATTGACTTAACCATAGATGAGGAAGGAGCCAGATGTCAGCTTGTATGCGTTATTGGCATGTAGGGCCCTGTACAACCTAAGGGGAGCTCTAATGAGATGGCAAGAAGCAAGCAGTAATGGCAGCATGAAAAACAGATCTTTGCTGAAATCTCTTGCATTTCCCACTAACAAAGTCCTGAAATGCATGTGAATGTAGGGCAAGGAAACTGCCTTTTGTCAAACAGCACTTCTTTTAAGTAGACAGGAAATTCTGATTTCAGAAGATCTAGTTCAAGCGTTGAGAAACAGCAATACGTGCTAAGGAAAGCTGAACCTGTATGGTATAGGCTATGGAAAAAAGCTCAAAGGGAGAAACTCCTTCAATTAAATAGGAGTCTTTTTTTTTTTCCAGTGACAACCATAACATAGAAAGGAAATTTCCCAAGACTATAAATATTTTGGTTGTGTTCCTACTTGATGGTCCTTCAGAAGCTCTTAAACCTTGCATGAATTTTCACTAATTTCTTTGCATGCTTATTTCTTATTATTTCATGTTGTGGTAAATTTGCTGATCAACTTCAGAAAGGATCAGAAATACAGTCAAGGAATGCATGCTTGCTGCTGTGCATGTTTAGCTGTTACACTTCTTAGTGCGCTACTCTCTGCTGCCTTGCTGTCCCCTTCTTGCTTATCAGAGAAGTAATACATTTAAAAGTAAGTTTTTCTGAATATAAAGCAATTACTAGTATGTGCTCTTAGTTCTCCCATCCCACACTGATGTTTGTATGGTCTTAAGCTGTCATTTGCTGTGTCTTTGTGTAGTCCAGAGCACAACCAGCAGAGTAGACTGTGGTGCCGGAGGAGTTGGGCATGCTTCTAACACCAGTGCTCAACTTGCTTTAGGGTAGTGTGGTGTATTTTATAAATTAAGCTAAACTCTTCCCCTCCCCTCCCTGGTAGCTGCACTAAGTGCAAGAGTTCAAGACTGCTAGTATAGAGAAAGTTACCAGCATTCTCCAGTCAGTAACTGTGGCTGGGAAGGAGGTAGAGATGCTGGTGCAGTTGTTCTACACTGATGTTTCTGCAGTGGTGAATAATAATAGAAAGCACTTATGGAATTAGAATAATGGGAGACTTCTCTGAAGTTATCTCAGATCAGTGAGTTTACAAAGCATCCCACAAAAACAGTATGGCCCATATTGGAAAAACCCTTTATTCACATTAGTAGACTCTTGCAATGTTTTTGGTGTGTTAGGATGCATCTTGTCTTTCTCACTTCTTTTTCAGTCTTTTAAACGCTCTTCACCTCTATATGACCCTATTGATTGGAGATTTCAAACCTTCAGCAACTTCAGCGCCTTGCCGTAGTACCTGAGGTGCAGGAAGCAGTACTTTGCCTTAATAGGTCTAGGGACTTTTTGGTAGGTTGCTGTAGGGAGGAGAAAAGAAAAAGAAACTAACATAAAAATGAGTTCTGTGGAGATAGCTCTAGAGGGAGTTTTCAGAGCTGGGATATACAGTTGTTATGGGCTTACTAACAAGAAATTCCATATGTGCAGTTCAGAAAAGAAAAATCAGCCGAGAGATAAAACCCATGCTGTGTGAAAAGGTGTGCTTTAGGAACTTCCCTAGTGTGAGCAATGGGTAGCTGGGAGAGTTAAGAGGTTTAGCTAACAAATGCTGGAGAATAACAGATAAGAGAATGAAACTCCCTCACTAATGCACTGCACTGTTTTCTTTAGTGTTAAAAACAGCAGGAGACAACTGGTATTGCTCAGTGTTAGTACTTCTAGTCTAATGCACCCAGGAAGGTTTTGTACACGTGAAGTACAGTAGGGAAGACGTGGCTCTTTTACATCAGATTTCTTTGTTGGACTGTGCTCTAATCTCTTCCTTCCCTCTTCTCCAGCACTTCCATAGCCCTGAAGCTAGGCCTAAATTACAGAATGCTGTAGCAGTGCCCACATAGCTTTCTTTGCATGTTCAGGGGGTGATGGCATGGTCACTTAGCTCAAAGTGACTAAGCACTGGTAATTGGCCAGCAAGGATGTTCGTTTCACCCCATATCTCCACTTAATTGTGTGACTAGGCTGATGACAACCTCAGAGTGATATGAAAGTCACTGTAGGATAAGTTTAAGCAATTGAGCTGTTCTTTCTTGTGTTCCATCTGTGTGATGGTGAGCTGCTACAAAGTCAGTCACTTGGAATAGTAAGCACAGTGGTAAAAGCTGCTTAAGAGAAAGTGCCGGAGTCTGGCAGCAAAAGCTCTGAAATGCAGGTAACTGATCCTCTCTTGAAGGATACATGAGGCAAGGCAGGTGAATTTGGTTAAGATTCTAGGCAGAAGCACCAAAATTAAGTGGGAGAAAGGAAAGTAGCTAGAAAGTTAATAAAGCTTTCCTTCTAATTAAATTCTTAGGAGAAAGTGCCTTTCTCCTATCATTGCTTCTGTTGCATGACGGATTCATGATACTTAAGGCTGGGTTAAAGGTGGTGTCAGTCCCTTTCTCCTATTAAGCCAATGTAACGCTTGAAAACGACAAACCCCACAACAACCAAAGTCTATTGTAAGACTCTAGTCTGGACAAAAGTAGAAATTACGAGAACATGGTGACTGATTTTTTTATGGGGAAGCCTGAACTGTTTCAGAGGACTGGGTGGCCAAAATCTGATTGGGGGTTCCTGCTCTTCTGTTCAGGAGACTCAAGGAGCATCTGCCTCTCTTTGTCTCTGGGTTGCATCTGCAAAAATTTTTTAAAAATCTAATGTTTTTCCTCAAAAGTTGCTAAACTGTAAATGCCATTCAAAAAAAAAAAGAGAAATTTGCTCTAAAACTTGGAATTAAATTGAGTATTAGACAGATTTGTACCATCAGTCTCCTCAGACATGAACATTGCTAGGCTTTTTAATGAGAAAGTGCTGAAGCAGAATGGCAGTTTCTTATTAACTCAACAAGGCTTGTCTAGCTATTTCCATGCTGCTTTCACTTGCTCATTAATGACCTTCTGCACTATAAAAAGAACAACCTAAACACTCCAAGCTCCTGGGAAGACCTTTTTTATATGGTCTTTCGATGTTAAATGGCCTGCTAGCAGTGAGGAAGCAACTCTGAAATGATCAATGTTTTTGTCTTGTTCTTGTGCATAGATAAAAATAAATTGTAATTGATTAAATTGTCTATTGCAAGATAACAAATGCAGGTGACACACTAAGCCTGAGTCACTGATGTCTGTGCTTCATTCCAACCAAACCCAAGCTGACTTCAAAGAAAGGGAGTCACAGCTGTAAGTAGCTCAGAAAGAAGATAAAGCTGTCAGACTTTCAGTGAACACCACCATGAGCCGAGTAAACTGTCTGGAAGGAAAATGTTTGTCATTGACCTATCATTCTAAAAAAGCTGAAAGCAGGAAGAAAGTTAAAATAACATGCATGTAAATAATTGCTTCCTTCACGTGCAGGCTGGATACCCCAAGGGTTGGGAAATGGATTTCTTTATCAGAATCTGAACGGCTTCTTGCAGGTAGAGCTAATAAGCAAATACAATGCAGGAATACTTTGTTAGCCCAGGGCTTTCCTCTAAAATCCTTTCCCTATAGCTGCATAGCAATGCAAAAGTAACTCCTAATACTGCCTGGTTGCGAGTAGCCAGGCTACCCGTCACAGGGGTGCCCACTAGGATTGGGGAATCGCTAAACTGCATTAGGGACTCTTGGCAGTGGCTTGACTTCATTTCTAATGGAGTTTCACTGAGTTCAGGGGATTCTGCTCAACCCTGGTTTGTCAATATGGGAAATCAGCATGGTGGGGG